TTCCAGAATGAATAAAGAAAAAGGATAAAAAAATCAACAAAACAATAGCTAAAAATAAGAGGCTCAATAAAACCTTAGTGGTATAAACCAAGTCACATCTAGGCATTCCATGAGCAAATTATTGAAAGACAATCTACGATGGGAAATCTTTAGAAAAAAAAAAAAAAGCACAACTCACTACATACAGGAGACAAACATAAAAAGCAGCTGACTTCTGATGCAAAACAGTGGAGACTAGAAGGTACTGGAATTATATATTCAAAGTGTTAAAAGAAAAAATGTTAAACATTTTATAATCAGAAAATTATCAAATAATGTTAACATTAATATGAAATAAAGACATTCCCAGAGAAACAAAAGTGAATATATTAATTCCTATTAAATAAGACTTAATAAAAATCACTAAAAGAAATTTAAGTAGAAAGTAGTAACACCAAAGCTAAAAGAGGAAATAACACTAGAAATGGTAAATGCTTTGGTAAATAAAACTCAATAGTTTATATTTTTGTCATCTTCTCTTAAATTTTAAAATAGATCCTCTGGACTATAGCAAATACATGCAACCTAGACAGTAATGTTAATCCAAAGAGGAAATATAGTAGGACATTTGGCACGTGTAAAATGTTGACAACTAAAAATATAGTAAAGGAGAAACAGGAGAACAAAAACTAAACCAAAAAACAAAAGTACCAAAGTGGAGATAAAAACAAACACAAAAATAATCACATTAACCATGAATGGACGACACAAGCTCAAACAGCAGATTGTCAGACTAGGTAAAAAAATATCAAACTCTACTAAATTCTGTTTATAAAGGAAGCAAATGATGTTCAAAGAAATAAGTACATTGAAAACAAAATGAATAAAATATATAATATGTAAGAAATAACCATAAGAGCTGAATTGTCTATTTATACTAATATTTCTTAAAATTTACATACAAGAGAGACATTTCATAAAATGAAATATCAATACACTAAAAAGGCATAAAATTATAAATGCATAAAACATAATAGATAGTTCAAAAATACATAAGGCAAAAACTGATAGAAATGAAGGGAAAAACAATCATAGCAGTTTAAAATGTCAATGTTCCAGCTGGTGCCGCAGCTCACTAGGCTAATCCTCCACCTTGCGGCGCCGGCACACCAGGTTCTAGTCTTGGTCGGGGCACCGGATTCTTTCCCAGTTGCCCCTCTTCCAGTCCAGCTCTCTGCTGTGGCCCGGGAGTGCAGTGGAGGATGGCTCAAGTACTTGGGCCCTGCACCCCATGGGAGACCAGGATAAGTACCTGGCTCCTGCCATCGGATCAGCACAGTGCGCTGGCCGCGGCGGCCATTGGAGGGTGAACCAATGGCAAAGGAAGACCTTTCTCTGTCTCTCTCTCTCACTGCCCACTCTGCCTGTAAAAAAATAAATTAAAAAATAAATAAAATAAATAAAATGTCAATGTTCCAGCACTCTGGCCTCAGAATCAGTCCTTAAGGCATTCAGATCTGGCTGAAGAGCCCATGAGAGTATTTTAGGCATGGAAAGCCAAGACACTCTGGCAACAAAGAGAAAAAGAGAAAAAAAAGAAACCACCACCCTAAATGAAAGATCTCTGCAAGTGAGATCCCAGTGGAAAGAACGGGCCATCAAAGGACTAGAGCCTAGGGAGATTTCTGACGCCATAAACAAGAGTGTCAAATTGTTAAGTCAACAACAGGAGTCACTGTGTACTTACTCCTCATGTAGGATCTCTGTCCTTAATGTGTTGGTCAATGTGAATTAATGCTATAACTAGTACTGAAACAGTATTTTACATTTTATGCTCTGTGTGGGTGCAAACTGATGAAATCTTTACTTAATATGTAATAAATTGATCTTCTGTATATAATGATAATTGAAAATGAATCTTGATGTGAATGGAATGGGAGAGGGAGTGGGAGAAGGGAGGGTTGCGGGGAGGGGGGAGCCATTATAATCCATAAACTGTACTTTGGAAATTTATATTTATTAAATAAAAGTTTAAAAAACTATCCATGTTCCACTCTAAATTTCATAGAAAAACTAGAAACAAAAGCAAGGATATAGAAGACTTGAAGAACCCCATCAGATCTTACCCCAGCCAACGACAAACACTTTAGTCAATGTCTATACAGTACAGATTTTATTCATGCACACCTGATCATTATCCAGAATAGGTCAGTTTGTGGACCTCATAACAACCCAATAATTTGAAACGATTGAAAGTACACAAATTATGTTCTCTGATCACTCAAAATTAAATGAAAAATCCTGAAAATAACCAAATCTGTGACAACTTCAATACTTGGATATTAAAAATACACTTCCATAATCCATGGATCAAAGAATAAATGATAAAACAATTTACAGTATTGAAATTATGACTATGCAACACATCAAAAATTTATTAAAAGAAGCTTATATCTTATATGAAAACCTGCAACACTATATGCCAATATAGGAAAAGAAAAATAAGCCACAAAGCAATATCCACCTTAACAATTAAACAGAAAAGCAAATTAAACACAAGAAAGAAAATAAAAATTGAAGTCAATGAAATAGAAAACAGAAATATGAATAAATCAAGCAAACCAAAGTTCATTCTTTTAAAACATCTACAAAATTGTCAAACTCTCAGAAAAAATGACTAGGAAAATAAAGTAACAAATTAGCAAGTCCATAATGAAAAAGGAGCATCATTAACTTCTCCAAATAAGTTTTAAAGCACTATAACCATTTCTTAGCTTAACTGTACTTCAACACATTAGACATGCTAAATCATAGAAAGACACATATTGCCAAAATTTACCCAAAAGAAAGAAACATGAATTCTGACTAGATTTATGACAACTAAGGAAATTGAAGTAGCAATTAAAAGCTTTCTCTCAGAAAATTTCATGCCTGAGTGGCTTCACTGGTGAATTTCAACAAACATTTAAAGAAAGAACAATATTTGTCTCCCACCAGTTCTTCCATAACAGCATTGAATACTCCCCAAGTCATTATGTGAGACCTGCATCATCAAAAACTTTCTCATCAAAAAGGTTTACTACTGATCAGTGGCCATCACGAATACAGGTGCAAACATCTAACAAAATATTATCAAATTTAATTCAGCAACATACAAGGAAGACGGTTCACTATGACCATGTAGAATTTGTACCAGAAATACAAGATTTTCTAAACATCATAATAGCCCTCCCATACTGATGAAATAAATGGAAAAACCACCCAATCATGCCAATAGATGCAGAATCCGCTGTGAGAAAATTTCACCCTCTTTCGAGATCTTCCTTAGCCTAAAAAAATGTAAAAAAAAAAAACAACAACAACAAAAAAAAACATGTAGATAACATCACACTTAGTGGTTAAAAATTGAATGCTTTAAAAATTAGTCACAGGGCAAAGGTGTTCTGATTTGCTTTCTCTACTTCTATTCAACATTGCACTGGTGACTCTAATAGCACATTAAAGCAGAAAAAGAAAAAGGACATGAAGGGGAGGAGGAAATGGAACAGGGGTGGGGGGAGAGAATAAGAAAAGGAGAAGGATAATGAGAAGACAAAGAGAAAGAGAAGCAAAGAAAGAAAAGAGAGCAAGAGGAGAAAAAGGAAGATATACCTGGCTAAATTGAAAAGGAATCCAGAACAGAAGAAATAAAGCTGTCTTTAGTTATAGGTCTCACACACACACACACACACACACACACACACATACTACAAGAATGAATAGATGAGGTTAGCAGATAAGACCAATATCCAAAAACCAATTGTAACTCCATATAATAGCAATGAGGAATCAGATATAAAATTAAATGGACATTTCTACTCAGAATATCACATACAAGAATATACATAGGAATGAATTTCACATGAGATTGTGAGATTTGTAAGTATCATAAATCATTACTGAAATAAATTAAATTGAAAAGACATTCCATGTTCATGGATTGAAAGACTTAATATTTCTAAGGTTCAGTTTTCCCCAAATTGATCTATAGATTTAATCCACCCCTTGTCAAAACTCCAGCTGAATCTTTCAGAAAATAGCAAACTAAGTTTTTATGAAAATGCAAAGATCTAGTAAAATCATAACAATTTTCCAAAGTACAATGAATGTGGAGATTTGCACTACCAGATTTCAAAACTATGAAAAAAATATAGAAGACAGAATGGCCTTGGCATAGAGACAAGCACTTAGATCACTGAAACCAAATTGAGTGCAGAAATAATCCCTTATATATTTGGTTGCTTTTGACAAAGGCAATCCATTTGCCTTTCCAATAAGTAGTCCAACATAATTAGATATCCACATGCAAAAAGATGAATTTAGATGCTTAATGAACATCATGCATAAAAATTCAAAATCATTCACTGATCTAAAACCTTTCAAAGAAAACACACTAGTAAAATTATAAGAACTTGGAATATGAAAATTATTCTTAAACAATACCAAAAAGTCAAGAAGAATATTAAAAATACCAATATCAAAAAGAATAGAAGAATGATAAATTGTACTTCGTTAGAATGAAAAACGTGCACTTCAAAAGAAACCATTAGGTCTGAGAGAAAATATTTAGAAAGCACATATCTAATACAAGACTTTCATCCATAGTCTATTATATAACAGCACATAATATGCAATATAACACATCATATATGTAATAATATGTGATTCAGTAATGGTAAAATAGCAATATATGATATAATGCATAAAATTCAAAATTAAGAAAGCTAATTTTTAAAAATTATCAAAAGTTTGTATACTCAAGGAAGACAAGACAAATGCTTTCACAAAAGAACTCATGCAAATAGCTATTACAATAATGAAAAGCTGTTACATGTTATTAAAAATGATTATGATCAGGAAATCTGAGCATACAAAAATTGGACAAGGTCATGGAAAAAAAAGCAGCAGCACATACTGACAGTGGTAGTGTAAAATGGTGGCAACACTTAAACAGTTTCGCAAGAAGTACAATATAAACTTACCAGAGGACGCTGAAACTCCACTCAGCCGTCTATCTGTGAAAAATAAATGTGTCCACACAATGATTCACAATTATAGCCAAAATCAACACAATCCAAATACTAAATAGTCAGTGGATAACAAAAAGTGGACTATAGCTATACAATGAACTATTCAGCAATACAAAGGAGTGAAATATTGATAGAGGCACTTAAGAAATGTTTCCACTGAGGGTGGGAAATGGAAGAGGTATAAGCTGGTGGTTTTAATAATTGTAGATTTTTTTTCCTTTAGAAAGTTGCAACTGAATGCTGGCCTCATTATAGGAATTTGGAAAAAGTAACAGATGTTCTTTGAATAGAAACCTGCTGAGACAAACCATCCCAAGTATCCAACCAGGTAAACGGACGGAGTCATGACTGACACCATTTCTTACCTGTGGAGTTGCACTGCTGCTCTCCAGATTTGAAGCTTTGTTTCTGAAGAGAGGCGCAACAGCACGTCAAGGAGCCATTTCTCCCAAAGCCACAAAGCTGCTTGGGGTTGCTGTGAGTTCCCGGGTGGAAGCGTCTGGGAGAGAATCAGAGTCCAAAGTAGGCACCGCAGTGAGTGGAGAAGTGAAAGATCCTGGGAAGGGAAGAAAGAGAAACACCGGACAACTCAATCAAAGACATTGTGAAATCCTGAGGAGCAACACTGGCGTTGAACCCAGCAGAACAAACACATTTTGGAAGCCTTTAAGAAGCTCACAGATGTATAGAGGATATAAATGTTAACAAGTAACTGTGGATATGGGGAATTCAGTCCTTGGAAGGAAACAACTTCTGCTTTTGCCACCAATTTTTGCAGATCTCAACAATTAAAATGGATGCTTATGCATCAAAGAAAATTCTCCAAATCTTGAAATACAACAAAACTTTAGAGCTGATTTAGCAAGGCTGTTTCTGGGGGAAAATTTCTTCTCTCAGCAAGGAAAACAGTTTGACTGAAAGTGCTAGGAAAACGGAATCAAGATGGTTTCAACAAACAGACGTGCTTTCTGAGAAGTCAGGGTGTGGCGGCTGGACCACAGCAACCAGATGGCTGTGTGGTTTCAAAGATCACCCAAACGTTTTCTCCATTTCTCCTTCTGTCTGGATGCCAGCTCCTATCAAGCCATTGAAAACACCTGAAGCTTCCATCGTGTACTTACTTCACGTGGAGACCATGCCTACTGGTAGTTCCAACATTCGCAAGATTCAGGGTCTTCTCAGGGAAAGGGGCTGACACTTGCCCTCTCTAAATTTGGTTCACAGACTGGAGAAGCATGAGTACAGAGTGAGTGGGCTCACCTTCCCCACCCCCCCCACCCCCGAATTTGCTGTGGTCTGGCAGTGTGAGGTCGTTAAGAACATAAAGTCTCCATACCGGCTCAGGATGACTGTTCTGAAAGAAGTCTTTATAGAAAGACGTACTTTTTACCAGAAAAAATAAGCAACTGTATACAAGCATAAGAACTGACACTTTTCTACAATGTTGTTTCTGAGCTATTTCTCTCTCACACTTTTTTTTTTTTTTTTTTTTTTTTTTTGAGAGGCAGAGTTAGACAGTGAGAGAGAGAGACGGAGAGAAAGGTCTTCCATCCATTGATTCACTCCCCAAATGGCTGCTACGACCAGCACACTGCGCCGATCCGAAGCCGGGAGCCAGATGCATCTTCCTGGTTTCCCACGCAGGTGCAGGGCCCAAGCACTTAGGCCATCCTCCACAGCAGAGAGCTGGACTGGAAGAGGAGCAACCGGGATAGAATCCGGTGCCCCAGCCAGGACTAGAACCTGGGGTGCCGGCACCGCAGGTGGAAGATTAGCCAAGTGAGCTGCAGCGCCGGCCTCTCTCACACTTTTTTAAAATAGAATGTTTCTTGGCTCTTGACATTATCCTATCTTCATTCAACCTTATCAGACCTCTTCTCTCCACCCACACTACTTTCAAAGACCAGGTTTTTGGAAGCAGCAAGTAACAGCCCTTCTACACTCTGTGCAGATTTGTGAGTATTTATTAAGCAAGAGATCACAAAGGGATGAATTACCCTTGGAGAGAAAGCAATACAGGAGTAGTCAAATATGGCGGAAAAGGAGGAAAACGATACATTTTATAATTAGAGGCATTTTAATTGATCTGCAGAACACAAAACTCTCTTGACAGATATTTTGAGTAATCAACTTTCTTTACCAAGTATAGGATCCGAGTACTTCTGATAATATATTATATTTAATCATTTTCCCTTTTACACATAATGGCACATTAACCACGAATAAAGAATAGTAGTAATTATGGTCCCAATGAAATATGGAGTAAAACCATTTCTGCAATCCCAATGCCTTGTTTATCTATAATAAGATGAGCTCATGTGGATGCATGCATGTTGAGGAGGGGCAATGGGCAATGTCAATCAATTGTATTCATAAACACAGCTTAGAGGCAGACCTTGCATAATTTAGACTCTCCCCTGGCTTGCTATTTCTGCTAGCAGGCATACTTTATGTTGCATTACCATTTTGATTGAATGAACAGGGTCAATAACGTCACTTTTTCTCATCCAAGGAAAGAAAATTATTCTGAATCCAATCATCAATCAATGCATGTAATCAGTCTGTTTAAAATACCTTGGGCTTTCACACAACTGGCTATTCCTAGGAAGACAATTGGAAAAAAAGCCATAGTTTTGGCTGATTTGTTAATCCCACTACATCCCCACCAAAATGTTAAAAGGCCAGCTAGGACTCAACAGGAACTCTGCTATTAACAAGATTATGGCAAGGGATTCATGTGAGGAGTGAGTATGCACTCTGAGACCTCTAGTATCTGCATTCATTTGCATATAATTGTTTACCCATTACTTTGCCATACCATACAGCTACCCCATTTTTCTATAATTTCTAGAGGTTAATGGCTTTTTTCCCCTCTAAATTCAAAGTTAACACAAACTGACACTGAAGACAAGAAAATGTGCTTTTCAGAGTGCCATAACAACAGTTGGCAGTCTGTACATTGTGAAAAATGTATTTGATCAAGGAACTTTTGCTAGCAGCATGCCGATGGTTCCACGCTGATTTACTTGAGAAATACAGAAATTAATCCTCATCTTCCAGTTAGGCGTAGAAAACAGCCTGAGACATCTTGCACCACACAAATCTCTGACTTAGCCTTCGTTCAGTCTTTTGTGGAAGCAAATGTAATTACTGAACATGAGAAAGGAACAAAAGGGCAGATTTTGAATCTTACCAGGAATGGCCAGAACCAGCGGCAGGCAGCTGGAGGTGAGTGAGTTTCGAGTGTAGCCACTGTGTTCATGGAGTCTCTGATGAGGCTCACGTGTTGGGGATACTTAGGCTTGGGCTAAGATTGAATGATGTGACTCAGTAAATCTACCTGACACTATTAAGATGTTTGCTCCTGGTGCAAACAATAAATAGACCTCCTTTCTTCACTCTCAACCATCATAGAAAGATACTTCAAAACGGTCATGGAAGAGTAGGATTAAAAGGTGTTTAGTTTGCTGCAATTTTTTTTTAAACCCTCATGTAGTTTTTTCCTAAAGTGCATTTTATATGAACTTTTTGAAAATCTTTCATATATGTGCATTCTATTGTCTAAATTTCTCTGGAGAAATACAATGTATAATGGGGCACTTTAGTACTGGATGAGATACACATAAAATAAAAATCATCTTTCAACATGGTTAAGGAAGAGGTAAATGAAGGGTAAAAATCAGAAGCTGGAAATGCAGGCAGCCATGGGATGAGCTAGCACTGGAGACCGAGGAAGCTGAGGGGACATCTGCCAATGTGTGAGAGCTCAGATGCAGCTTTATTTAAATACTCTTAATTGCCATTAAAATACATAGAACATAAAATATGCCATTTTAAGTATATAATTCAGTGGCATTAATTGCATTCACACTGTTAATCAACTATCATTACTATCTACTTCCAAATCTTTTCCCTCACCCCAAATAGAAACTCTATGTCCTTTAAGCAATAACTCCACACTTCCTCTTTCCTAGACTCTGACAATCTCCAATTTATCATCTCTAAGAATCTGTTTATTTGGATAGCTAATGTACCCAGAATCATACTTGTCCTTTCTTGCCTGGCTTATTTTACTTAGTACAATGTATTCAAGGCCCATCCATGTTGAAACATGTATCAGAAGTCCCTTACATTTTTAAGGCTAAATAACATTGCATTGTATGTGTACTGAATTTTTTTGCCCATTCCTGTATGCATGGACACTTGGCGTGTTTCTGCTTTATATCTATGGTGAATAATGTCCCAAGAGCATTGGTGTATACACAATCTGTTCAAGCCACTGTTTTCAATTCTTTTGGTTATATATCTAAGATAGACTTAGAAGTTCAATAAAATACATCAAAATTAAAAGAAAAACAGAGCTGGATTGGAGTTCCAGTATCTGGATGGAGCTTGGATTAAGGAACCTGTGATATACATGAGACCACAAAAGTGCACCAGCCTTAATGGCTAAAATAGGGAGGAAAAAGACTACCCCCACAGAATGTTTGTGCATAGATCTTGACAGAAAATGAGTGGAACAGAGAAAAAGAAAAAGAGCAGGCATTTGGCAGTGGTCAAGATGCCACTGTTGATGGCCATATCCCATATAGGAATGTACGATTCAAGACCTGGCTCCATTCCCAATCCCAATGTCCTTTTTATGCACTCCCTGGGAGGCAGCAGAGAATGGCTTAAATAGTTAAGTCCCTGTCACCAACATGGGAGACATGGATAGAGTTCCAAGTTCCTGACTTGGGCCAAGCACAGCCTCAGATGCTGCTGGCATTTGGGGAGTGAACCAGCGGATGGAAGATTCTCATTCTCTCCCCTCCCCGCCCCCAGACCTTGCTCTCTTGCTCTCTCGCTCTCTCCTTTTCTCTTTGGTTTTTAATAAAAATGAAAAACAGAGTAAACATTTTTGAAAGAATATGTAGGATTTTTTTCTTTAAATCTAGTGCAGGAAGTTACTAAACCAGCACCTGCATCATCTGGGTTTGTAGCCACAATTCATACTACAAATGTGGCCCAAAATACTCTTACCACCCTATCCTGGTTGATTGGGCCTCCAAGTAATCAGCAAAAACAAACACAGACACTGCGTGCCAAACACAGAACTTCAAGGCCTGTAAAGTGAACACCTTCAGAAAGAAGTCACATCTGACTGCCTGGAAAATAAAAAAGTTATGCAAAAGTAGCAGAGAAACAAAAGGGGAAAAAGTTTTTAAACATTTGGGGGAAAGATGCAGAAGACACTGAGCAACCAGCCCAGAACATACAGGCAGAGATCTAGGAGGGGAAACCTGAATAAATAAACAAACAAACAAACAAATGAAAGTCAGATCATACTCAGAGACACAACAGCAAAGAAGTTTCAGATTAGATTAAGCATAGAAATCTATAAATTCTAGAAAATAAACAAATATCAAAAAATAACAAAAATATTAAACCAAACCAAAGCATCCTTTAATGAAGTTGTAGAACTTCTAAATAGTCAAAACACACACATGACAAAAATACGTAAGCTACTTTTAGACAGAGGGCAATTGGGGAAATGCACATGAAGCTCCAGGCTCCTGGCTTTGGCCTAGCCCAGCACTGGCCTTTGTGGTCGTTTGGGGTATGAACCAGCAGATGGATGTTCTTTTTCTCTCTGTTTCCTCTCTCTAGTAAATAAATCCTTTCTAAAAATTAAGAAAAAATACGTAAGCTACTTTTAGAAAGAATACAGACTGATAATAAATACATAAAGAAATCAAATGGTCAGAATTGTTCTGAAAAAAATAATAAACCAATAGCAAATTAATCCAGACTTGTACATCCATAAAAAAACTATGATGTAATAAATGTTTTCATACCAGTAAAATTAGGCACCTCTAACAGCATCCCCTCACTACTGAAATAAACAGCGGAGTGCACAAAGGGAGAAATGGTGGTTCCAGAAGTAAGACCTAAGATGCAAGAAGGAATTTTGAACAATAAATACCATATGTCAAAAGTATATCTAAATAACTATTTGCTTCAGAAAACAATGACTTCTAATTTGGGTGTGGAAAAAACTCAAGACAGGACTAAAGTCTTGAGTAATAATTGCATATGGAAAGTATATGCATGAAAGTCCCTAAGTTTAAGTTTTATGTGCCTCATTTCATTTGGAAGGAAGGTAGAATCATTGGATTTGTCAAGTCAAATATGCATGCCAACATTTCTAGAGTCATGGTCATAACAAAATAATAGTCTTGCAAAAATGTCCTTGTCCCAATCCTGG